TAGGGTTTAGGGTTTAATGTTTTGGGTTTTGGGTTTTGGGTTTAGGGATTTTGGAGCTCGCGGAAATAAGAAGCAGAAATCGTTAGCATGAGTTTCACATCCCTTCAAGAGAAGATTGGGCTCCAGGACTTGCCGTTTCGGGGCTTGCGTCTTGGAGACAGCTGGGGTCAACCCTGAGCTCAAAGCCCTAAGCAAGTGCCCTAAACCCTAAACCCTAAACCCTAAACCCTAAACCCTAAACCCTAGAGCTAGGCTTACCGGGGGGGTTGTGGGGACGTTTGGTGGTTAGGGTAATGACGGGTTTAGGGTTTAGGGGTTTAGGCTTAGGGTATAATGAGCTACTGGCCGGCGCTTCCGAGGGCACTTGTTGTTTAGGAATTTAGGGCTTCGGGTTTTAGGGTTGAGGGGTTTAGGGCTTCGGGTTTTAGGGTTGAGGGGTTTAGGGCTTCGGGTTTTAGGGTTGAGGGATTTAGGGCTTCGGGTTTTAGGGTTGAGGGATTTAGGGCTTCGGGTTGTGGGGTTGAGGGGTTTAAGGTTTAGGGTTCAGGCTTGGTGCCCTAATCTCGAAACCCGAAACCCTACTTGGAGGGTCGGGGGGACTTAGTGACTGGTTATTTTATAGACCTATAGGTACTATAACCCCAATTAGGGTCCCTTATAGGGTACTTATAAGTCTACTTAGTACCTACTTACTAAGTCTCCCGACCCTCCAAGCAGACCCAAAAAAGAAGCGAAGACTCTCAGGAAGGAGCTCGAAGTTCTTCAACCACGCCTTGAGACCGTGCAGTCCCAGCAACCAGTCCGAACGGTTTAGGGTTTGGGCTTTAGGGTTTAGGGTTTAGGGGTTTAGGGTTCAGGGTTGAGGGTTTAGGGGTTTAGGGTTTAGGGTCTCACTTGATTTAGAGGTCGGAATAATAGCATAATACGGATCATCCCCTCATAGCCCTTTTACGGTGGAAGTAGAATGTACCCCCAAACCCTATTCGATGTAGAAAGGGCCCTACATTTCCAAAGCCCGAAACTGAAAACAACTTAAACCTCCTGAAACGCCTCTAAACCCTAAACCCTACAAACCCTAAACCTTAAACCTCCTGAAACCCTAAACCCTATAAACCCTAAACCTTAGACCTCCTGAAACCCCCTGAAGAATCCTTGGTGAAACCTGAAAGACCTGTCAACCGAAGTAAGAAGTTCCTGAAACCCCCTAAAGGCCCTCTTAGGGTTTAGGGTTGAGGGTTTTAGGGTTTAGGGTTTTAGGGCTTTAGGGTTTTATGGTTGAGGGTTTAGGATTTAGGGTAGAATCCTGAACCAACCATGAAAGCAGCTGTTTCGAAGCTCCAAAAATTTCTGTAGGCGTTGGGGAGCTGACGGTTGGCAGCCTGGTGGGTTTGGTCAGAAGTTTTGGGAGTTTCCCTAGAAGCCCAGTTTGTTACGAAAGGGTTTAAAAGTTTAAGAGTCCAGGGTGGGTCTAGGGTTTAAAATAGGGGCCTAAATGATAACCTACATTATTTGTTTGTTTTTTGTTTGGGGGGGTCTCCTTGTTATAACTATCGTATAATTGGCACCAAAACCCTATTCTAATTATTAAGGCCCATACATTAAGGGTTCAGGAGTTTTGAGTTGAGGCTTTAAAACTCTAGGCCCTACAGCCTAAGCCTTCGCTGTAGCTCTGTTTATAGTCGGCTACCGTTTGTGCACAAGCATGGCATGAGTGACCCACCAGATAAGTATCGGGGCTTCCAAATTAGTTTCAGAGTTTGGGATTTCAAGCTACGGGGGGCCGTTGGAGATAGTTCCAATCATTGCAGGTGCGTCTTCGCAAACATCGACTGCTTTAAGGCTTACTTATGTATATACTAATTGGGTACATGGCCCTAGAAGCACTAAACCCTAAACCCCTAAACCCTAAACCCTAAGCCCCTAAACGCTAAACCCTTAGGGTACAAAGTTCAGAGTTTTCTTGAGAGCCCGGTTTGGTCTCCCAGAGGCAGTGCACCCTCGAAGAACAGCTCCGAAACTTGGAGGACGGGGGGATTGGGGTTTAGGGGTTTAGGGTTTAGGGTTCAGCTGTTTGGGTTTGGAGGGTGAGGGTTTAGGGTTTAGGTGTTTTTGGGTTAGGGTTTGGGGCTTGGGTGTAGGGGCTGTTGGGAACTATGTTTTTCCACAGCAAACATTCTTCTGACAGAGGCATAGCATGACATGAGCAGTGCTGTCACTACCTGCACTTCTGTGCCACACAGACGGGTGATGGCGTCGCTGTTGTGCCATGCTACGGAGATCTTTGCCAAAGGCCCTTCTGACGGCGGAGCACACCAACAGAAGCCCTAAACCGCGGTGCAACGATTTCACATTGCAAAAAGCAACGAACGATTTTGCATAGCACCTGACCCCGCGCAGGCTGCAAATTCTGAGCAACACTGCTGCTGATTCTGTCAGGGTCGGTTGCTACCTAGCTATAATTACAAAATCTTTATATAGAACTTATTAGTAACAGAAGGCCTGGTGGAATTTGTAAAAATGCGGCACTCATGAGCACCACCACCAGGCCAGAAGTTGGGGGACGAAAATCAGGATCAACATCGGAGCATATTGGGCCGACATGTCCTGTGATAGGGCCTGGGGTTTTGGGTGAAGGTACAACGAGAGCCAAAGCTTCGGGACTCTTGCTCTGGATCGAAGTGGCTGGGCTCTTGCCGTTTCTCAAAACCGCATTGTCTCAAGTTTGAACCGAACTCGCGCCAGAATGACATAGCCATAGCTTGAACAATGTGGCTGCTATGCGGCTTCTTTCCACGGAATGAACATGAGTGAACGCTGGCACATTGGTAACACGCACCAGATCACACCCCACGAATTCATAATATGGGCAAAGCGAGGCAAAACGGAAGATCCAAAACACAAGCTTGTGCTATTGTAGATGTACATTCACGTGTCCTATGTGTTGGCAGCTTTTTGGTGGGTCTTACACATATCCCTCCCACCCCACGTGAGTGATTTCGATGGCTAACTAACTCGCAGAACAACATGAGGCACGCTAAACCCTAAACCCTTGGATGCCGCTGGAAGCCCGGGATAGATTTCTTCACAATTCTCTCCTTCCAGTGTGCTCGGGGTCCGGTTGCGCATGCTGGCTTGGCAACATGTCTCGAAGCTCTCTGGTACCCTGAGGGTCCAAGTACCTAATAATCATATAATCTCACAAATAGTAACCTAAATAACTACTATCCGAAACCTAAGTACATGATTATTGGGTCCTTTGGACCCTTGAGGGTAGCTCGGTGCATCAGTGTTTAGGGCTTAGGGTTAGGGCAAACATGGTAATTTAGGGTCAGGGTATGGTGAAACATTTCCCTCGATCGGTAATCACTTCTGGTGTGCCAGCTTGCGGGGCTGCAAAAACCTAAACCCTAAACCCTAAACCCTAAAGCCTATTGATGACCCAGACCACCAGAGTCCCCGGTTCTTGCGCAGAATCAGCATCCACGAAAGCGAGGCATTGAGGCTGTAATAAGGGGCCTCAGTAATTAGAAGAGGTTTGGGGCGTATATTCTACTATAACCTTCAATAAGGAACCCGCACAACCCTAAACCCTAAACCCTAAACCCTACTCTAATTATGAAGGCCCCTACAGTAGGCTGGACTCTGCACAGGACAAGTTCCTCACCGGGGGATACCTGGCAGAGGCCCGAAGCCTCCCAAATTCCAAGCCCCAAGCCCCAAACAAAAATTAAACCTAAACCCTAAGGCCTAAACAAAAATTAAACCGTCAAAAAAATAGACCTAAACCCTAGACCCTAAAAAGACGTAAAGCCTAAACAAATAAAAGCCTGAAGCCCTGAAGCCCCTGACTTGCCAGTTCCCGATCTCCTGGGCCTTATGAGCATTCGCCGGCTGAACTGTAAAAAAGTTTCGGTTTGGGGTTTATTCAGGTAACCGTTACACATTTATCAGTATGCAGCATGACAAAGATTGAACTTCCGAGACAATAGCACTAGAAGGCTTTTGATGAGGAGTGGAACAACATCAGCGAAATTCGTGTGTTTCAATACTTCAGCCATTCGCTACTTGTCGGAAGCAGCATTGCTTCCTGCTGCAGTAGTTGTATTTCTCGTCGCTGACGCCATTGTAGTACTGGGCCCCGGTCCTGAACGCCACAAGCCTGCCAGTTGGTGGGAAAGCGATACCCTACGCCACATGCGTGTAGCCCTACCTTAGGAGATGATGCTCCCCCCCCCCCCCTCCCCAAAAAATCCCAAACCCGGAACCACCCGGCACAAAAAACGAAAACAA